CCTGAATAAAGTGACTTAAAGTGACTTAAGAATGCCGAGATTCAACCTAAACACAACGTTCTGATTCCCATCTCGTCCTCATATTCTCGCGTTGCCGAGGTCGCCACTGATTTACTTTGTTCGTTTTCATGTCCCACATCTTTATCAAGCTGAAATTATATTAATTTGCAATGAGTCGAACCGATCATATTTTACTGGGATGGTTGCAAGGCCTGAATAATGCCGTTGTACTGGTGATTATTTTTGAATCTGTAACGTGGTTGTTTGTGATGCCTGTATGCTGCTTTATACAGTGAACAAATTAAATGAGCAAAAAATGCAAAATTTTGTTTAGAATTCCATACGAGATGCCATTGATATGGTTTGGTCAGTGCTGAAATTTCTCAAGATCTTACTTGACTACATATGGAGTACTGAGGGGATCCAGCGGTCTAATTTCTCTCTTAGTTATTCAGACAGGACACTATTGAGAGATGAATAAATCAGAACGACCATTCTTAAAATTTCTTTTGCCTATCTTCCCTTGTGCTTTGCTTATTCAAGTTGATTCTCTTCAACTCGTTCGCTAACTAGCTTCCCGCCCCGTTCTCCAACAGAGAGATTATACCATTAGTCGGCACTAATAAAACCAGAACGACACCTATCGAAACCTACCAAATCACGTGATTTAGATCGAATACATGCACCCGCACCTTGATTAATTGTCAATGAACTGAACAAATTCTTGCTTCTTATAACTCAGGGATCTTTTGAAGAAGATGAATTTTCCGAAGGAAGGAACAGTATACAGATCATTGTGTTCTATCAAGGGGGGTTAAAAATAGGTGCCGAAAATCACAGTCCGGTCAGTTCAACATGCAGCTCATGCAAAATAATGTACTGCATTATCAAAAGATACATAGTTCAGTACAGTTATGGCAGTAAACACTGCCTTTAAAGATCATATTGAAAACTATATGCAAACACAGCCAACATAAATAATAAAATTACTACGTTACTATAAAATAGTGAGTGGCATTTAAATTGTATCAGTTTTACTGCATATCTTCTAGTTCCCTATTAACTGCAAGAACAATTTCTGCTGACGTTATTACAGTTTTGTACATTTTATCTGCGCACATCGTCCTACTCTTTTACGAAACTAATTTAATATAGATAGCGCCTTCCTGACGCTAGCAAACATAGATTCCAAAATTTCAAATATATACATATGTACACATTTCTAACAGCGAAATTTACACAAAGACATTCTGAGGATCGTAAGCAAAAATTTTGTATAGTGAATATGCATTTCATCTGTATGTGTGAGCGATGCCTTGATATGTCCGAACAGTGCTTTCTTGTGCATATGAACGGTGTCTATTACGTAAATATAAATCGAGGTTGCATTCAAATGTGTCTGCCGAGTTCACCATTATGACCTCTCTGGGCAGTCCGTTCCAGGCACCGATTACTCGCTGTGTAACCGAATGGCTGCGGATATCCATATAGGATGAGGCTCCTCGGAGTTTGAGGAAATTCCCACAAAGGTTAGTTGATCTGGCGAATGCAAAGAAGTCATCAAACTGCAGGTCACAGTCCCGATCCCTCACGATCCATCATGTCTGTATGATATCATCTCGGATCTGCCTATACTCAAGAGGAAAAAGGTTAAGTGTCTCATGTCTGTATTCGTATAATAAGGACTTAAGGCCCTTCACAACCTTTCTTGCCCTACTTTGGACACTTTCCAGTACCTTTTAGTCGTTTTGCAACCACGGGCCTGAAATCCATAGTCCGGATGTGAACGAATAAATGTCCCGTCTAATTTCCTAAATATTTCCTTGTCAATACTGACCAATGTTCGTTTGATGGCAAAGAGAACATTCGTGGTAGCCCTAACACATTTCGAAGCGGGCCTCAGCGATGGCATAATTGTGATTCTCAGGTCCTGCTTGTCCGATTTATTTCGATAGGCACCTGCCACCAAGTAAATAGTCGTGAGAGCAGTTTGTCGCGCTCGCCTTCTTCTTTGTGAACCGCAGTGTGACACACTCCTCAAAGTTAGATCGCATGAACCATTTTTGGACCATTCATCTAGGCGGTCAAGTCCTTCTTGCAGAGTTTGTTCATCATACGTGTTTCTGATAGGTTGCCGTAGCTTGTATATCATCTGCAAACAGGATTCCGTTGCTGTCCAGTCCATGCATACGGTCGTTCGCGTAGATTTAGAACAATAACGGTCCATGAACGGAGTCCTGAAGCACACAACTGACAACTAGCCCCGAAGTGGATTTCGCGTTGCCAACGCACACCGACCGAGATCGGCCTGCTAGAAAATCTCCTATCCAATTTAGAAAATCCCCCTTATTCTGGATTCGCTAACCTTGTAGAGTAGCCATTGGTGTGGCACACTATCGAAAGCTTTTTGAAGTCGATGTAAATAACATCCACGCTAGTATCTCCACTAAAGATTTGTACCACTGTTCCATCGAATAAAGCCTATTGGTCAGACAGGAGTAGTTTTTCTCGAACTCCATGTAGGGCACCGTCAAAGAAAGTTTATTCTTCGAGAAATTTCATGGTGGCCTTTTTGATAATCCTTTCCATAACCTTGCAACAAATGCAAGCTAGACTCACTGATCGGTAGTTGCTCACGCAGGTTATGGTCCAACCTTGTGGATAGGGTATACGTTCGCAACTTTCCAGTCAGATGGGAGGAGGCCTCGATCAAAGGATAAACTGGAAAATATGTGAAAACAGTCTGGAGATTTCCGAAGCGAACTCTTGTAGTATTTTTGCCGGTATTTGTTCTGCACCCGGAGACTTAGCTTCGTTAAGCGCAAAAAGTTATTTTCTCACATCCTCTTCTGTAAAATCGAGGTCATCCATAAATGTGTCGTTACTCCCTAGGTGGAAGCTTGCCTGATTAAAATCTGGTTCCTCAGTGAAAACAGGTGCGAAAAGCTCCCTAAGTTGTTCTGCTTTTTCCAGTTATTTCTTTGCTGCCCTCTCCTTTCAAGACTGCGACTGCTTCTTTATCTTTAATCTACTGTTAATGTAGCTTACAGTACTTTTGGCTTATAAACGGCTTGTTCTATAATTTTTGCCTCATCCTCCTCCTCCCGTGATTTGCGATTTGGGAGCTCTATTTACCTCCCTTTTATATACTGAATTAATATAGATCGGTAGGTTTTAAGTAGCATACAGATGGAAAACAAAATAATTGTCAGTCAGATAACTTAAACTATTCACACACAAAAGACATAAATACAAGGAAAAAATTAATTTTTGTCAGTCATGTGGCTTTACTGACAGTAATACTACCAAACGTGCCAACGCATAATCAGGTGCGGCACATGAATTTCAGTCTATCGGTCGACTTCTGAAAATGTGGTTTAGTATATTTCCGGCTAATGGGCATTAAGTTTATTCTGACTTGGTTAGAAAGACACACGAGCCTTCCTTATTGAAGCTAGCGTAATGTATTACTTTGAAAACAAATTTGCTGATGTAAATTTGCTATTAACGACAGAAACGGAGTAGAATCTAGGTCAAAGGTGAACGGGAGACCTAATTACACACGACACAACAGTCCAAGCCGACCGCAGAACGCTAGCGTTAAATCAATCAGTCAACCAACATCGATCGCGTATGATCCCTTTGCACATACGCGCGACCCAGTCAGTAGCCCTCCTCAAATTCGTGATTTTTTCCACAAGGAATTTTCCCACAAAGAACGGCCAATACGCTACAGAAAATCCATAGGCGAGACAGTTGTAGGACTCCAAGCAATTAAGACGGGGTTTGATGAGCTAAGGAGCCATAATCCCGCTATGTGATCAAATAATTTTAGTAACTATGGCTTACCCAGCCCGTTTTTTCACCTCCTGTGCGAGAGCGAATGGATTGGCATGGAAAAAATCAAAGCCCACGGTTGCCGTAGTCTCTACAAGAAAATAAATGTGCAGTTCAAAGTACCATTCAGTAGTCTGTGGGTCAGCGGTCAGCATCAGGCTCAGGAATACAATAGACGGGATTTTAAAACTAAAAACCCTTTCTGATAACGTCTTTTGAGACTATTTTAACGAACATTCGATGCTACAAGGACCTTTTTTTCACTTTGGCTTATATCCTGAAAAATCTCCCAGAAAAGCGCCAACCAGGTCAGGAGTATAGAAGGCCTATATAAATCAGGAAGTTTGAGAACTTGTGAAATCAGCCTGTTTAACTTCCGTTGTCCAGGCGGAATACACACTACTTGCACGCACACATTTTAATATGGCCGCCGTGAAGCCGCAACCCGCCATAATGGAGAAGGATGAAGAAGCCGATACGGATGTTCATCCACTCCAATATGCGTAAGAACTTTTTCTGATTTGTTCGGCAAATCATTGTTAGTGTTCGCTTTTATCGGTAAAGCTACATGTAGTCTCTGATGTACGACTGATACGTCTAAATTTTGTCAAGGCGACTCAGTCCATGCTTGAGTAACAACTGACACGACCGAGGTTCCTAAATGCCTTTAACGGTCAGGGCTGACTTATCCTACGCCCGTGTTTGTTGCTGTAACAGTCTCCGCAGTTGAATGTGCGGAATGTAAATTCCTAAGTTCCGCCACTTTTCTTTTCGGTTGTACTAATACACGCGGCCGCGACTACTAGTAACCTCAGAGTGTAAGTGTCAGTTTGTGAAGAGACTTATTGCCTGAAATCAGCTTTCTTCGGTCTACCCCAGTTTTCGCTTCCAGATGCCAAAGTGAGCGCGATGGCCACATTTTATGCTACCACGGTCACCTGGCTTGTTGCTATTTTGCCGATTGTACTTGCCCTCGTGATTCGACTTCCTAAATTCGTAATAGGAAAGGGAAGCATTTTTGATTGCTTGTTAAGTTGGCATACTTGCAACACAATTCAACACTCATCTTCAGATGACCGAACTATGTCTAATTAGGCTCCCACACAACGGGCTTAAAATGATGACCTCCTGGGTGTCCATCGTATAGCCCGCCGTAGCTGCGCTTGTCGCATGCGAATCAAGTGATATTTTTGATCCATAAGACAGATCTGTTTTACTTACCTGGCAACTTCATTTGCGAGCTGGTTCTCTTAAGGTAGGATATTGTCCTACGTGTGGTGGCATTTGTCGTGCTATGCAGCATTAACAGAATTGTCATTGAGTTGAGAAGAGCAACGCTGTATTAATGAATCCTACTAGTGGGTATAGTCAGATCATCCTCATTTGCAATCGAGAGATAGGCGGTTTTAAACTTCTGCGGTCACTGTTCATGTGCTTGAGAATTTGCCGTTGGCCTTTTACATTACTCTTTCTTACACGTTGCCGTTGGTTCGCCCTTTTGAAAGTTGTCTCGGAGTAGGGGGCTTATTACGTCTTTCCACAATGCCTCAATTCTAAGATGTATGTGTCTATATCTTTGCATGTTCTTACCCTTCACTGAGAACCTGAGACGTTCCAGTGTTGGAAGGCATGCAGGCTATCGAAAACGTCGAGATCGTCATCTTTAATAACTAACTTCATCGACTGAACCCATGTCAAATCATTATTTGGTCAGTTTTGTGGAGTATCCGCCGCTGCGTATCTAGACACTAAAATGTGCGTATTTTTATGAGTTTAGGTGGAACTTCTATGTATTTTCTTACTCCGTCGGAAAAGGATGGGAAGATAATATGCAGAAAATAGCCGTGTTTGACACCGTGGAACACTTTTGGAGTATTTTGACGCACACACTCCCGCCATCTGAAATAATGAATGGAACGGATATCTATATATTCAAGGAGGGAATTC